CCACTTTAATGCTTATTGTTCTCTGCCTAACTAAACGGTCGCAAAGGCCATACTTCGAACTATAGAGCATTCGAAGTAGCTGCGCGTGGTTTCGTGACCGGGAATATCTGCGCAAATATATATGTACTTTTAAACTGACGAAAATCCCATTAAACTCCTCGGAGGACAGTCTGGTAAGAATAAGTGTTCGATAAATCCTAGTACGGTCAGTAAAAATAAAATAAAGGTGAAAAATTGTTCCATTTTTATCTTGCTAGTGGACAACAACCACAAAGTCGGTACCAATGAGACCTACTGCTTGATCTACTGAATATCACAGAATCACCAAAACCCTCCAGTTCAGTGCTTTATACCCAAAATAGCGTTTTCGAAGAGGAGTTTTTAGAGTCAAAGGCATTGTTCTGCTTAATTTTTGGAATGATGCAAAATTAGATCAGAAGGCTAGGCTGGGCTTCAATAAGTGCGATTTGAGTTGATCAGAGTAGAATGCATAAGAATAGAATGAGACCTTATAAATAAGCTAGATAGATTTGCCTTAGGTCAGAGTAAAATGTATTAACTGAGATCGGCATTTATCACACACTGCCCATCGAAGATGCCTCAGCCTCAACGTATGCGGGCAAGGGATTTGAAATGACAGATGTTATTGGGTGGGTGAACACGAATGCCTGGTAGCTATCGCTGTCAGGAGTCCGTGAACAGCTTGGGACGGAGGTGCACAGAGATCATGATTAAGCAGTCAGCGAGCGACCTTCCTACTGACAGCGATAGGATGAATGCACGAAACTGCCGAGGCTTAGGTATAAGAGAACCGGCGTTGCCCAGGAGCGGCTGTGGGACTGAGTGGTTATCAGCCACTCATATAAGAGGGAAGGCTATTAAATCCCACAGGGTTCTGACCATTGACCTTATTCGCGATACTGGCGGCATACTTTCAGAAAGCTCTGCCGAGCTATTCCTGAGTCCCAGTGCATGGTAAAGCTTTCCTTACTCATCTCCAGGGTTAAAAGATATGGCCAGAACAGACCTCTGAAGGTCGAATGACGCACCCACGAATGGCCCTCAGGAAACTGCAAATTACCGCCAAAGTCTCCCGATTGGGATCGAGCAAAAAATTCATCCGACGAACAGGAACTTCTCTTCTAGTCTGACACACACTACTTGACTGCACATTCTCTCTCTACCTTTCGAAATAGGTTTAAATCTGGCAACAGTCACCGCAGCCTTCCACGTAGCGTCAAGTTAGTATTAAATGGTCCAAATTTTACCCGATCTCTCCAAGTATACTTTATAGCTCTGCACATAATACTTCTTGCCCCGAAAAGATCGTATACCCCTCCGAAATAAAATCCCACAGTCTCTGCACACCCCCCCCCCCCGGCTGAGCGGGATATCATACCCCAGTGGCATCACCATTTGCTAGTATAAGTAAAACATGAGAATCAACAGATTTTTTGCCTCAGAATTGTAGAAAATAAGAAAATTGCTAAAGGCAACCGGTGCCGAGCATTGAATAGTCAGGATATTAAAATGAAGGCAGTGGTAACAGGATGCCTTTTGGTCATCAGTATAATCAACAGCAACTGCACTATATACATACACACACGGGCTTGCCCGTCTGACCGACAGATTGATTCTCTTAGTTTGCGCCTTTGGAGGAGCCGCAGGTTTTGGCAAGTAGATGGGCGCCCGGCTCTGAGGCCGTAGTAGAAGAGAGAAGGGACGGGGGGGGGTGGAGTGGCGCGGGGGCAGGCTGTGTGGAACAGGCTGACTAATGGATGCGGAGCACAGCGTAGGGGATCTTACAAAAGTCGATCCCGGTTTTGGTATGGCAGAAGCTCGACGGTGGAGACTGCGGTCACCGTCAACTTGGACGAGCGCCGGGCAAAGTCCACAAGTTCGTTCCCGACAAGGGACGACTTCGGCGAGCGCAGGCGCGGGAGGCAGCGGCGCGGCGATGCAGCAAGGCTCTACTCCGTCCCCGTGAGTAGGTGCCACTGCCTGGGCGAGACGATGACGTCCGCCTCAATGAGGATAGCCAGTGTGAGGAAGACTGCATAAGCGAGGATAAGCACAACGCCGTAGGCTTTGCGCATCTCGAAGTTGCAGGCTGTTGCGACGATTAGATTAGTTGTCAACACAACCAGGAGGAATGTAAAGAGCAGAGCGTGGGTGAGGGTGAAGGAGAGCTGCGTTGGAGTGGAAGAGGGGAAGAGAAGAATAATGTTATTGAGTAAAGAGGCATCGACCCACTCTTTGCTGAACTTTTGTATTTCTTCTAGTCCTATTAAGGAGGATGCATCTTTCGTATGCTTCGTGTTGCAACTGGTGATTCCTCTTTCTTTTTTATTTGATATCATCTTACGACGGCAATCTGCGATGATCAGGCACTTTGCGATTGAATTTCCCAAGGTTACTGCCCAACTTCTACTACCCTGACTTTATGGTCGCACGGATGCTCCGCTCAACGGGGGGGGGAGCTTTCATGTCTAGATTGGCAATAGGTGTGGCTCGAATTTCGAAGTGTCAGGAGGCAGAAGTAGAGAAGCAGAGGTCTTGCATGTTACCCCGAAAGTAGTAAAATTCTTTTTATATTTCGTTTTAGTTCGCCCCATTAATTTTCGTTTGTCTTTTTCGTGACTATATATGGGGTGCTTACCGAAAATATTATGAATACTTTGGCAACAAAGCCACCTGTCCCTCCTTCTAGACCTCTCTCTCTTCAGTCCGCTATAGGGACTGAACAGTATATATTTTTGCCACTAAATGTAGTGGATAAACGAGTTAGATGAACTCATTCTGACCCCCTCCCCCCTCCCCATTAGAAGGTTAATGACCCTCTTGTCCCGGTGAGGGAAGGTGTGCCTCCCAGAGGAAGGGGCGACAATGAGGAAGCTGGCCTGGTATGGAATGAATGTGTGAACTCCCCTGCACCCTGTTACCAAACTCATACACAGTCATAATGGTATCCAAATTTAGATGCATGACCTTAACAGATTTCTCGATAGCCTACTGATCATTATCCTTCGAGATTAATTACCCGGCGTTTCTTAATCAACGAGCTGTGGGCATTTCCTTCCGTGAGACCGTGCACGCTGTCAACTGCCTAAACGTTTTAGTAAGCGAGTTCTTTCGGCGTAAATACGATTTTTCCTCCTTAAAAACTTTAAAACTCGGCGTCCCCTCTTCCCTGCACTGTGCGACCCGTACAATCCCTCTATCCGCCATTCTCGCACGACAGATGGCCTTGCATCAAAGTTCACGGCGGGGGGGAGATGGATACGCACATTCGTTTCCGACCGAAGTCCTGCCCCAATGCCTCGTGTGAGGTGCGGACTGTTCTGGCTGGGGCGCATTATGCCTAGACTGTACAGTCAGGTGGGTCCGTTTCTCACCAGTTATGCGAATGCAATTACTCTCTAAAAGACGTCAAAGTTGCGACGATTGGGTTCGCATTCAGAAGAAGACGAGAAGTCTGTAAGGGGCAAAAAAGCCGCAGGGCGATTACATCAAATCAAACCTAACAATACCCCAGGGCTGTTGATAAGAGATTTTGCTTGGAGGTAATGCGTCGCACAGCGTGGCTGAGTGAGGAGACAGTTTTTACTTGAAAGGTTGTTGCAAACATTTAAAGCACACCAAAACAGGACTTTCTGTGGCATTTCAGGTCAAGCGGCGGAAGCGCCAGTGCGGGTGCATGCTTTTGGATCGTGTGAGTGTCTGGCACCTCAGGGGCACGAGGCTGAGAGCTGAGTGGTCTGTGTCACCATACGGGCCATTGGTTAGAAACGGGGTCACAGCGTCTGGTGGTGAGGGCAATGCGCGCTAGGTGGGAAGGGGGGGGGATCGATGTGTAAGTTAGCACCAGAGCCTCGGAGCTCAAGTAGGTTTTGGCCAGCCCTGATGCCGATCACTTCAAGTGCTAATTTCCCACAGACAAGTAGTTTCATGCTGTGACCAATGGAGCCAGTTACTATGCTAGCACGCAGCTGACAATTGAGCCATGTCGGTATGTGCACGATACTTTTCTCGTCATCGAACGGGACCAGATGTTGTAAATCAAGGGACATATCAACGCCGTCTTCCGGAAATACAGTCATAAACGCAGTTACGTAAGGGCGCCATACCGGTGTGTCGAGACCGGAAGACAAGGTTGTTGAGCTACAATACACTCAACGGGTGCTTAGAACAAATGGGTACCCGCGCAACTTCGTCAGCCACTGCGTGCATAAACGGGACGAGGGACAAAATTCAACCGGCCCCAAATTTTGGTGAGGGCTCTCGTACGTTGGAATCTGCCGGAAGCTCTGGCCACCTCCTCACACCACTCGGAGTCCAAGTCGTAGACAGACCGGAGGCAGCCATCAGGCGCGAGGTCTTGAGACCGAAAGACCCACTGTCACAGTAGAAAACGTCTGGAGTCGTTTACCGGATCTGGTGCAGTTGTGGATAAAGCAACTATGTCGGAGAAACCGGAAGACTGCTCCGAACGCCAGGTAATCGTCGTGCCAAGAATCGACAACGGTAATGAAATCACGGCGATTAACCACTCGGATACGGGACGACAAGCGATAATCGCATCAACTATGATGACCAACGATGAACAGGAGTGTCGCCAAATATAGTAGGCGTGTGGTGACTTGGTAGTCGCGCCCTATAAATACTACACACTTTGTGCCCCTATTACCCTTTTTTGCACTTGTCTCTGATGATGGGTTCGAGTGAATATCCGAAATATCGGGCCAATAAAATGGTTGTCCCAGCGATCGCACGTTATTCCTCTTCATTTTCTTTTTTCCTCCTCCTCCTCTTCTTCTTCTTCTTCTTCTGAACTACTAATAGTTTTATTATTTTTGGATCAGACGCTTATGTGATCGCCTTAATCGAAATACATGGAGGTTATTATCGCATGAGAGCGCTTGAGTGTCGTCGGCCAGATCGAAGTAGCACCACAAAATGACTGCACTAACTGCATTCAGCGTTGGAAACGAAAATAACTTAAGAGAACCCCGGAAGTGCCGACACAAGTTTTTGGGTATGACTCAGAAGTAAGAGAGACATCGGGAACTGTGTGCTCGTTTTACCGACGTTTGGGAGAACGATGTCGGCACACTATTGGGCAATGAATGGTTGTTTGCTTTTGACAGATCAGGAGGATGAAAATACGATTCCGCGTTCGACATGATGTTCGCAATGGTCTTTTAGAACTTTACAAATAACTGCTACATTATGAGTCTTGTTCGGCATGTTATTCAAGATAGGATATACTTACATTCGAATGGTATGAAAAGGCGTGCGATTTAGTGACTTCAGCGCATACTGCTCCATGCAGATCGTCTGGCATTTCTGTCGGAGGCGGGTTAACACTGGCGTTCTGGAAGGTATGATGCCGTGTTTTTCATCCGTTCCATAACTGTGGACTTGTAGCCGCATACTGGCAGATCTTTATCTAACCACAGAGGTGCGATGAAGACTGGACTCTACTTACGCATCCTTATGGGACGTAAACACGATCTTACTTCAAATGTATCTATGATCGTAGAGACTAACCACTAATCGAATGGACATGCCCCGAACAGCACCTGCTACCGGCCACGTACCGTCCACTTTTGGTACCAGGCTTCAGCAAGCGCAGCCGACTACCAGATATCCTCTAGTTTCCTCTCTCCAAACATCCGCCTTTCTTTGTCTGCCCAACCACCTCTCCTGACGGAATTTGCGACCAGCGGCGCCGGGCTGCGGAATTGGCAGATCCACCGGCCTAGGTGCGCGTTCTTGCCATGCAGACCGCCTCCGCCCTGGCCCGCCTACGGTCTTCCTGACTCTTGACACCGGTTCCAGGTGGGGGAGGGGAAGAGGATGCGGTAGATGCGGCACAAGTCTACCATCACAATAAAAGAAGCCGTGCGCAAGTCATCGTCCCTGCTGTCACCCTGATGTACAGCATAGGGAGGACATCGTCGGTCACGACGGTGGAACTATCATGTCCCGAAGACACCACAGACGGTTAAGAAAATTCGCAACTGACGTGGACACTGTTGTGAATTTCGCGACGAGTATTAATGAACAGGGGACTACGATTATAATGGTAGGGGGCGCTCACCGATCGTTTTTACGGAACTCACTCGTTCCGTTGTGCCATACGGACTTTCTCTCGAGCCCAAACAGCGGCCGCACAGTGGCGCATGATATAGGCAGAAGGCGTATTACTGACGAAGACAAGCGAGACTGGAATGGCCATTTCTGGTTTTTTTGCCATCGTCAGCCAGTCATACCCAACCCCGAAGTGTGGAACACCCGAGACTCGAACTTGCGACCTGCTAGTTAGAAGTCCATGCCTCTAACCACTGGGCCACAAGTTCGTTGCCTTGTCGATTTCGATCGGGAATATACAATGGTAGGGGGCGCTCACCGATCGTTCTCGTGACATTGGCAGATCCACCAGTCAAACTTTAGTGTAGCTCGTGCTCCTGAGACCAGGCGCGATGGGCGTCATACCCTCCGAACAGATTGGACGCGCGGTTGGTCACCCAATAAGCAGTAGGCCATGGTTAGTGTACACACGTGCACTGCGTCGCAAGCGATGAACGGCAACCTTGTCAGGAGACACAGAAACATGCTGCGAGTTCTGGTAGGACACGGGAATATGGGCCCCCTAATGACAGGTGGCCGCGCGCTAAAGTCCCGGGGGGAGGGGCTTAGGATTAGGGTTATAGGGGTTAATGTACTGGGTCAAGAGGGTTAGGGTCAAGGTTGGAGTTACGCATAGACACGGAAATAGGTACTCCTCCTGGAATTTGGCGCAGAACCACCTGTAGTACGGAGGGTTCTTATTCCCGTGTACAAGCCAATATCTTGCTTAAGGGCAACGCTGGTTGCGTTTGCTATTAAACCCTTTCACAAAACTGTTGTTCAGGCAAGGCAACATGGGCCTGAACTTGAAAGGAAACCGGGTAAGCGAAAGCCAATTCTCCGTAATGTGGGCGTCTAGTGGAGTTCCATTTTTAACCCGATTGGATTTACCAGCAAACTAAAACTGCTCGACTTGCTGCATGAAAGCTTCTCCAGCGGAGCGTGGCAACTACACACAAGACTGGGGAAATGTTGATATCGGCAAGCTGTTTCTGGCTAAATTCGTAACCCTCGCTTGAGCGGACTTCGAACCCCGACTGCAAACATACCGGCTAACATTCTGACGGGACTGATAAATGCCTATAGACCAGGTATGTCAGAAGACAACGGAAAGCTCGATTTCGATCGCTTTTACTCAGGGGGCCTAGAAAGGTTTATGGCCAGAAAAGAAGGTTTGGCTTACCGCAGCATTGTGGTCCCCAGTGCGAGCGATTTTTATGGTGTAAGACGTGCCGGCGCCGATGAGCAGATTAAAGAGCGGCGATCCTGAACAGGCAGCGTAAGCTATCCTGGGATATCCATTGTGTGCAAGAAGAGAGTTCGACATGATATCTGCAGCGGGTTTCAAGGGAAGGGGATGAGTTGGTATTTTTTGCGGTCAAGTGTCTATCCAAAATCATGCATACCTCACAGGCAATAATAGCAGTCATCATATAATTAGTGTTATGAATTTCCCCTACTCTGCCCGGCAGGGAGGATGCGGTGCTCCAATAGGAGGATGAAGACCACTCGCAATCCATTCAATCCGACTAAGAAACGTGCCCACTGGAAGGGGCAAAAGGCTGTAATCGTCCTGGTAACTTCCTCTGACGAGGAGCCAACTGGGTGAAATTGAGACAGAGACTTGGATGCGAAGGCAAAGGAGGTCTGCTTTTGGGTTTTAAGTCTGAAAACAAACTGCCAATTTGAGCAAGGATTTACGCCCTGCTGAGAGCGATCGGAAATAATGAATGTCACCCTTGGGGTGGGGGGTCCTGAGGGTGGCGGGAAAATAGTTGTCCAGGTTCCCCCTACTTGTTTTCCGCGGGACTCGCTGTCGGTATGCGAGCACCAGTGAGAATTACATACCGGGGTTGATAGACCAGACGAAGTACCCGTATTGCATCCGGAAATCAGGTGAGCGCCAATACTGCGCGATGTCGATTATCCCCAGCAGCGCTCAAAATCGAATGCGCCCGAGGTATAGTTTTAGCCTCAAGCGATGAGTGAATCCGACTACCAAAGCTCAGGCTATCACAGTCTTAAGGGGCAACTTGCGGTTGACTGGGGCGGTCAACTAATCCAGCTGTTTCCATTCCAGTCTGCACTAGTTTGAGGTGCAAAGACTGAGGAGTGGATGCGACCACCAAAAACTGCGCACTTTTATTGGGGCCTCGATGCGCTAGTGGATAAACAGGCCCGACAAATAATACCCCCGCTGTTGTAAATATGTCCCCAAAAGGTACATTTCTACTTGGCTTTCGAATGTTAAGAGTAGCCATTAGAACTCGAGTAGGCCAACCTCTTTGGGGCGGGTCTTTTTTTGGCCCCACACACTTTCTAACTTTAAAGGACACCTTGCCCATTTTATATTTCTCAACCACTTGAGCTGTCTTAGGAAAATAAAGTGCTCACCGGATCGAGGGACTTGTTTGGCTGACGTTTCGAAGAGCTGGGGCGGCTCTCCATTATCAAAGCGGCAGTGAAAAATCGATCAGAATTTTGAATAGACAGCCGCATTAGTTGGCCTTGGGCCGGTCGATTTTTTTCTTCTTTCGCTGCCTTGGTCTACTGGCCGTCGCCTGTTGGTGGCCTCCTGTATTGTGTGTCATCACCTCAATTGGGGTAAGTAGCGTTTGCGTCCCCCTTTTGGGTGAATTTGTCGACAGGCGGTGTTTGCTCGATAGTCTTAGACTCCGTATGACTGTCTTGTCTTCGTCCCGGCGTATGTAGTGACGTAGGACTTTATAGCCCGAAGGAAGGTCTAGATGCCTGTTGATGGAGTTGGCATCTGAGTACCAAGCCTCAAGTGTGAGACGCTCTGTCCTTGAGGTGCCCCCGCCTAAGACGGCTGCTCCTTGAAAATCAAAACTGTGACCAGTTTCCCCGATGTCAGCCGCAAGCAAGGTCAACTAATCTGGCTGTCTATTCAAAATTCTGATCGATTTTTCACTAGACGCTTTGATAATGGAGAACCACCCCAGCTCTTCGAAACGTCAGCCAAACAAGCCCCTAGATTCGGTGAGCACTTCATTTTCCTCAGATTATCGACCCGGATCTCTTACTTTTGCTAACCTGCACTTAAGTTATGTCCTTTGGAGTGCTAACAGAACCGTTCCGTCCCCAGTGCGGTACGAGGGGTTCCGGACCCCTCTGACGGGGCGGAAGGTGAGGGAGCGTTATTAAGGGGAGATAGTGCGTGAGTGGACTCGACAGCGAACTATCGTCCTGGCGGTTTCGCCTTGTAATTAAAAAAAAAAATGGATTTAATCCTGCCAGCCAGCCAGTTACCTCACCTCCCTCCCCTTCTCTCTTCCTATTGTAACCAGTTTCCAATGGGGGGAGAGTGAGGCCTGAGTGACCGGAAGTCGTGAACCGTCGGGGAATTTTGTCTTATCTGCGCTGGTCAAGTATATAATACTGGTACACTGTGCGGGGTACACGTCGTGTTTGGCCTGCGTAGACGAGTTGTCTTGCTCCGTCAGACGTTGCATCTACCTCCGGCCGAACCGACCCTATCTTGGGACTGTACCCAGTTGGAGGAGCAAGTAGTGCTGAGCATCTTGAGCACTCCACCTCAGAGGTCTCCTGCAATGGCACCGTGGACACGGCGGCGGCGGCAGCGGCGAGAGGATGAGCAAGACAACCGACGTGGTATCTTTCTCTGGGCCGGGCCTGTCATAGTGCCCTACTGAGTCCACCTAATCGGCCCTTACGCTTGTGGATAAACTTGCCCGTAAGAACTTTAAGCCGGGTGACCTTCTAGGCTATGGCTTCTAGGGTGTCTAGAGAGTTTATTACTACTTTGTGGGTGTAACGCAACTGCGCCAGCCGTTTTCGCAGTTGGGAAGAGCAAAACAAAAGGGCCCATGATAAGCGCAGACTTGATGTAGGTAATGGTTCACTGCTGACAGCCCCCCTAATACGCTCTGAAGACAGAGATTCGGATGATAGCATGCAAAGACATTGTTTGGTCCTAGTTGGAATACTGTGCGTGTCAGTGTGGAGAGCACGCCAACATCTCATTAATCCTCGAGGGCTAATGCGGTTGGATTGTCCTGCCAAACCTCGGCGGTGTGCGTACATGCATGCCATGCTTTTCTTCGCAACTCTGACCCGGACAGTTGTGGCCGTCACTGTCAGGCACACGCGCGGCAGTTCCACTGTCTCTCGATCAAGGACGTCGACGACCATCTGGCAAGCCAGGACGGGGATAATCAATCTAAGGATAGGACTAACTGAGGCTAGCACGGTAATTACCCTTAGACGGACGCAGGGACGGCGAAGGCCCTTTTGGGTTGGAAAAGTTGCACGAAAAATTGAGTTAAGACTACTGGGATTCAATTCGTAAGTATAAGTGCTGAGAATGAGCGCACAGGTGAACACCTTTCCCAACACAAGGGTCGGTGGGTAAGATGGTCAAACCATCATTACACCAACATCCAATGCACGCGATGAGATTGCGGCAAGTAACGTCGCAAATGTCGGCCATCACGCTACGTGCAACGATCCCCGATGAAGGGGGGGGGGAGCCGTGAATATTCATAGGTATGCAGTATCATGGCGACTGCATCCTATAAATACTGCAGTCCCTTATGCATGAACCACCAGTATCTGCTTTTGTCTCTGATGAGGGGGTTCGAGCAGGAATCAGAAACGTCAGACTAATGAATCTCTTGTCCCAGCGATCGTGTCTCCTTCTTCAAGACTGCTTCCTGGGGCTCGTCTCTTCGATTCTATTGATAAGTGAGGGTAACCTAGAAGGCACAAGCCTGTATTGGGTGTCGGGCGTGGAGTCGGGCGCATAAGGTGAACTGGAATACAATCTTCGGGACCCTGCCTTACATCGCATTCAATCTGGCGGTTGGCCAGTAGCGACACATATCCTAAAATGACTGGCTGCTGAGGGGAAAGTGTTTCCTACGCAGACAAAATCAAAACAAGGCTTGCCTGAAAAACAGGCTGGGAAAAATCCAAACAAGTTTGTCTAATTATAGCAACCTCGGTTCCACGCTTACTGCGAACAAGACTGATATCGACCGAGGTCACCCGACAACCAGGTTTTCCGTCGGTCTATCTGGCCAAACAGTTGCTACACAAACTAGGCCGTCTGCCTGCGACTTGTCGGCTAATTATCGCTATCACTGTCTCGCAAAAACAGGGACGACAACCAGTCGGCGAGTCAACAGCAGAAGGAACGCAGAAGGCAAGGAAGCTCAAAGATGCATGCCTCTGATAAACTGAGAAAACAAGCTACCTTAGAACACCATACAACATCCTGCAAGATAGTGATTTGTAGTATAAAAGATTAAAAAGGTTGGAAAGGTTAGTCCGCCGTCCTCCACCCAGGCACTCTTACCTTTGTCTACCCTAACCGTAGTGTTGTGAAAGACCTACTGATAATATTGTTCGAGAAAAAATGCCTGCCATAGCTAAACCCCACTAGATGCGCAGCTGTATCAGAGCACTTGACTGTAAACGTAAGGCAATGCCATGGGATTGGACTAAAAAGGAATTTGCATGTTGTCACGTTCACAGCCCTATAGACAATGGTCGTCGGACCCAGACTGGCCTTGGCATTGAGCCAGAAGCGTCTGGTTGGGTAATCAAACTACCTGCATCGCGTGTATTAACAGGTCTAGGGCAAATCTTTGGGGTTAGACATACATCTTAAAATGGGGCAAACGCACGTGGCCCTAACCCCCTCAGTGACACTGAAGAAACAATTGCTATCAAACATGTTTGAATATAAGGAAAAGTATGATTTGTTTTCGTTGCATTTTCGTGGTTTTGGGGGAAAAACGGAATAAGAAAAGAGAAGACCCCTATGAGGTTGGCTTTGAAGAGTAAGGGAAGGTAATTTTAAGCTCATTAAATGACCTGTTCAGGACTCAGCTCTGCGGGTCTTTATATTTTACCCGATCACCTGATATTTTCTTATAAATCAAAAACAAAGTGTTTTAGTCGCCGATGCTCACCCGGTGGACACTGCCCTCTGAGCCTCATTCACAGTCTGTTGTTGGCGTCTTTCTCGATTTTTAGGCTTTTGTTTAACATTGTTTCGATAGAAATTGTCGTAGAATAGTAGTGTCCCCCGACTACAATATTTTTGGTTCGCAAAATCTTTTTATCTTCAAATTTAGTTTAGCTCCTTTGACAAGCGCAGCTGAAAACTTCCTCATAGCAGCTGTGACGTGCCACCTTGCTTGTTCCACTGCTTTATTCCGAAGTTTTCGATTGTTGCTTATTGGTCAGACATGCTAGCGAAATTTTATTTGGCCACCTTGTCAAAATCCTATGTATGGACTTGGATTATGTCTCACCCTGATACCTAGGTAACTGCCATCT